TAATCATAATCATAATGATCATCACCACCACCTCATCATCGTCCTCCTCGTTGTCGTCGTCGGGGTCGTCATCATCATCAGCATCAACACCAGAACCACCACCATCTCTTCATCATCATCATCGTCGTCGTTTCCCTCCTCCTCCTCATCATCCTCGCCGTCGTCGTCAAGGTCCTCATGGTCATCATCCTCATCATCAGCATAATCGTCATCATAATTATAATATCCATAAGTTGCATCATCATCACCATCATCATCATAATCGTCATTGTCATCGTCATCGTCATCGTCGTCGTCATCATCACCACCGCCATCGTCCTCAGCATCAGCATCATCATCATCATCATCATCATCATCATCATCATCATCATCATCATCATCATCATCATCATCACCGTCACCCCCACCATCATTATCATGCCCTTCCCCTCGGCCCAAAACAAGTGGGTCCTGACTCGTCCTAGAGCCCCGAGCCTTCCCCCAGAACGAGCATGTTCTCCAAAGTCGTTGTCTGACACAACCAGGGCCCAAAAGAGAAGGAACCGCTTCCCTCAAGTCCCGCATAAGTCATGGCGAGCCTTCTCCCAATCAACCTCCCCCTCCTCTTACTCCTCGTCCTCCTCCTCCGCTCCTCCTTCTCCTCCTCCTTCTCCTACCTCCATCCCTCCCTCCCTCCCCCCCGCCTCCTCCTCATCCTCCTCCTTTCCTCTCCTCCTCCTCCTCCTCCTCCTCCCTCCATCCCCCCTCCCTCCCTCCCTCCTCCCCTCCCCTCCTCCTCCTCCCTCCTCATCCTCCTCCTCCTCGTCCTCCCCTCCTCCTCCTCCTCTGCCTCCTCCTCCTCCTCTCCCCCTCCCCCTCTCCCTCCTCCTCACCCGCTCTCCGCCTCCTCCGCTGCGCTCCTCCTCCTCCTGTTCCTCCTCCTCCTCCTCCGCCTCCGCCTCAGCCTCCGCCTCCCCTCCGCCTCCGCCTCGCCTCAGCCTCCGCTTCCGCCTCCGCCTCCGCCTCCGCTCCGCCTCCGCCTCACATACGCCGCGCCTGCCTCCCTCCTCCTCCTCCTCCGCCTCCGCTTCCGCCTCCGCTCCGCCTCCGCCTCCGCCTCCGCCTCCGCCTCCGCCTCCACCTCCGCCTCCGCCTCCGCCTCCGCTCCGCCTCCGCCTCCGCCTCCGCCTCCGCCTCCGCCTCCGCCTCCGCCTCCGCCTCCACCTCCGCCTCCGCCTCCTCCTCTTCCTCCTCCTCCTCCTCCTCCTTCTCCTCCTCCTCTTCTTCCTATGAGTAGTATTTTTGTTAGTAGTATTCTTATTAGTTTTAGTATCCGTGTTAGTCTTAATATTATTATTGATATTATGATAATTATTAGTATTATTAGTAGTGTTAGTTTTCTTAGTATTCGTATTATTACTATTCGCCTTAATAGTAGTATCAGTATTCGTATTAGTAGTGTGATCATTAGTATTAAAATTAGTATTATTAGTGTAATTAGTAGTAGTAAGCTTAGTATTATTGGTAGTATTGACAGTATTATTATTATTATGTGTTATTATGTGTTATTATTAGTACTATTGTTATTAATAATAATAATAATATTATTATTACTAATACTATCATTATTAGTATTAGTATTAGTATTAGTATTAGTATTCTTATTATTAGTATTACTATTGTTATTATTAGTATTATTATTCGTATAGCAGTCTTCTTCTTATCATTAATATTACCATTCTTAGTATTAGTATTAATATGCTGCGTGTTAGTAGTCTTAGTCGTAGTATTCCTCATATTAGTATTACTAGCAGTATTGTTAGTAGGACTATTAGTAGTTCTAATATTAGTAGTAGTCGTAGTATTATTCTAAGTATTAGTAGTACTATTAGTCTTACTATGAATACTCGTCTTCTTCATACTTGTAGAATTATGACTATTATTCGTCTTAGTAGTATTATTCTTATTGGTATCATCAGTATTGGTATTCTTAGTGTGCGTATTATTCTTATGCGTACTCTTCTTAATATTAGTATTAGTATTAGGCGTCGCCTTCTTAGTGTTAGTATTGCTAGCCTTCGTATTACTATGATTCGTATTATTATTGCTAGCGTTAATCGTAATAATATGATTCGCATTATTATTAGTCGTACTCGTCTTGTGTGTCTTAGTATTAGTGTTCGTCTTAGTTGTAGTATTATTATTCGTAGTACTATTATTCGTAGTATTCTTATTATTATTAATATTATTCGTAGTAGTATTAGGTTTCGTCTTCTTCTTCTCATTAGTATTAGTAGTACTCGTCTTCGTCTTATTCTTATTATTATTCGTCATCGTATTATTATTATTAATATGCTTATGTGTCTGTTTATGCTTCTCCTTCTCCATCTCCTCCTCCTCCTCCTGCTCCTCCTCCGCCTCCGCCTCCGCCCCCGCCTCCGCCTCCGCCTCCGCCTCCTCCTCCTCCTCCTGCTCCTCCTCCTCCTCCTCCTCCTCCTCCTCCTCCTCCTCCTCCTCCTCC